CTCTGCCTAATAAATCAGTTCTTTTGTTTTCAGAATGATCTGGAAGAAGTTGGAAAAACAGAAAATTATATCATTGACTGTCTAGTAGCTATGGTTGTAAAACTTTCTGAGGTCACATTCAGACCCCTGTTTTTCAAGGTGAGCTCTCTCCCTCCCCATCTCCTTCCTACTTGTAGAAGTAATGAGACATGTAGAATAAACTCCTCTTCGTCTTTCTAGCTGTTTGATTGGGCTAAGACAGAGGATGCCCCAAAGGACAGACTGTTGACATTTTACAACTTGGCAGATTGCATTGCCGAAAAACTGAAGGGGCTTTTTACTCTGTTCGCTGGCCACTTAGTGAAGCCTTTTGCTGACACTTTGAACCAGGTGAACATCTCCAAAACAGGTTGGTAGCTAACTCCAGTTCTGTTGACACCTTGCTCTGTGTGCCTTACACAAGGCAGAGTAAGTATAGTAAGTCTAAGAAGGGTGTTTCATTCTGTAGTCGGTTGTCAGGCCCCGAGCTCCTGTTTTATAGTGTAATGAAAAACGGGTCGTGAATTGACTCACTGGGAGAAAGACTAAAGTGGGCATCACTCTGAGTCATTGCAGGTACCTTTAAAACATTAACACTAAGGTGCTTTATTGATGCTGGAAAGCAGCTCTTTGACACTGGTCACTTAACTTGCAAACTGAGTCTCTTAGCAACCAAATCTCTTCACTGTGAAAGGAGTCACCCGAGAGGCCGTCCACTTGTGTTCCACCCCCATCCTAAGTTCGATTTCTAGACTGTTGTGGAAATACCCTTCTGATTGTAGTTCTTTTAATAGTGACTTGAATTTAAACGTTGGAGATTAAATTGTGAGATTTATTTTTCATTTTTACTCTCCCCCATCTTACAGATGAAGCGTTTTTTGACTCTGAAAATGACCCTGAAAAGTGCTGCCTGCTGTTACAGTTCATCTTGAACTGTTTACATAAAATCTTCCTCTTTGACACCCAGCACTTTTTAAGTAAAGAGAGAGCAGAAGCCTTAATGATGCCCCTGGTGGATCAGGTAACCAAGGAAAACCACCTTTTGTTAAACGGGGGAGCCGGCACCGCTCAGTCTTCGCCGGTTTTATACCTGAAATGAGCTTGCTGGGATTTTTGTTTTTTCTTCTTTCTTACAAAATTTTAATTTCAAAATTGCTTTCTTATTTTTTGTGGATTTAAGTTATCTTCATAGGGGTGTTTACTTTGCAATTTTTCAAATGAAAGATATAAGGGCTAATGGTGAAGTTTTTTAAGTTTTAAAAACTGATTTCATTGAAAATGTTTGAGGGCATGACTCCCTCTGAAGAACAGCCCTGCTCTGCTGGAGGGAGGGGGATGCTAGGGGCTGTGAGCTCCAGAAGGTGGTGAATTTCTAGAGACAGTATTAGAACAATACCTGGTTTTTGAGCCTGCTAGTATCATGAAGGATAGTAGGTTATTATTTATACCATGGGTATTTTTTCAAACAGAAATGAGACCTGTTGCTCAAAGTCCTTTTCTCACTCACTAGCTGGAAAACAGGCTTGGTGGAGAAGAGAAGTTCCAGGAGCGGGTGACGAAGCACCTGATCCCGTGCATTGCACAGTTCTCGGTGGCTGTGGCTGACGACTCTCTGTGGAAACCACTGAACTACCAAATTCTACTGAAGACAAGAGACTCCTCACCCAAGGTCAGGAGCTGCGGGGACCAGCCATGTAGCCCAAACAACCATAACTCGGCCCCGGCGCTTTGCAACCGTGGTAACTAGCAGGACAAGCATGGCTGCTCCTCTTCTAGAACCAGAGGTCTGGCCGTAGTGGACAGGTGTTTATGCCTGCGTTTTTGGGTTTTACTTCCAGGTTATTTAGAAATAAGAGCAGTCCTCCCCCGACCCCTCACCCCCACAGTGTGTATGTGACACGAGCACTCAGATACTTTCTACATTTGCAGTTTTAAATCTTGAAAAGACGTGAAGTGATCCCTTGTGCTTTTCAAGCACCTCTTAAGCGTCTGCTCCTAGAGACTGATGCCCTGAGCTTGTCCAGACACTGCTGTGGGTGCAGCATCGCAGGCTTAGGGTCCTGTGGAATCAAAAGGTAGACAGGTGGTCACTCGACACCCACTGGTGGGGGAGGACCAGCGGAGGTTAGAGTTCCGTACCTGAGTGTCAGCTCCACACTGAATCGCCATTTCTAGAACCTCTGGAGACAGCAGACCAAAGCAGAAATTTATAATAGATTTATTACTTGAAACTTGTGATATTAGAAAATAATGAGAACAATGGGGCTAATTGGATAAACTCCCAAATTTTAAATTGTAGGTTCTTAGAAAGTTGCTTTAAATTTATTGTTTTGATTGTACAATATCCAGAAAATCCCGATTGAACAAAGGTAGTTACACGTTTTTTAAATAACTTACTTTGCTATATCCAAATGTTCTTTAAATTATCCAAAACCAGGGAGAGGACCAGCACCGTTTCTGTGGGTCACTAACACAGTGAACCGGTTTGCATTCTTCGTCAGACCAGTCACAGGAGAAACACCCAACTAAGTTCCACACCAGGATGTGTGGCGCATGAGTATTTTTTTTTCACTCAGTGCTGAGATGAGTGACCTGAGCCAGTAACCAGGCCCCTCACACAGCTGCAGGACACTGTCCTGGGGGGCTGGCCTTACCTGTCAGCCAGGCGAGCTGGTGCCCCCACGCACTCAGGTTGGATGACGCATTTGAGTTTACAAGTGGCTTTTCATTTCATTGAGTTTTTAAAGGGAGACGTCATAAAAAGGCATTGCCCTTAAAGGTCTGCAGTGCTGGAGCCCAGGTCAGGTTGCCTGTATTGCACAGATTCCAAACTGTTAAGTAAACTGGCATCCCAAGATGAAAGTTGAATGGACGTAAAGCGAAATAAACTCATGTTAAATAACATTTAGTTTAAAAAGTGAAGAGCTTGTCTCAGATTAGATTTTAAGATAGTAAAAAAAGCAATACTAGTTTTTACCAACCTTTACCTTTTTGCTACCTCAGGTTCGATTTGCTGCCCTAATTGCCGTGCTAGCACTGGCTGAAGCACTGAAGGAGAATTATATTGTCTTGCTACCAGAATCCATTCCTTTCTTAGCTGAACTGATGGAAGGTAATTCCCACGCTATTAAGTAATTACAGTACGATTCCATGAAAATGTGCCCAGTGGAAATGAAATTTGGGTACAATATGATAAGCCCTTGGCTCAGACTGAAGGAGGCCGAGTTCCTGTTGGGAGGAGGGTGGAGCATATTAGGAAATGGCCCTCTTTACTGTCCCTTCACCTCACGTGAGTATTGTGGCCCGCAGATGTGGAGGTCTCCTCTCAGTGTCAGGGGCATTGAGGCTGCACAGGACACTTCCTGTTAATAGTGACCAGCACTTCCTTGGTGCTGTGCATGGGTGCTCTCACCCTCAGGGCTGGTGTGTGCCATGTCCCGTTTCATAAAGGAAAGAACTAGAGGTTTTAATGGGATTAAGTGACTTGATAAACTAACAAAGCGTGAGAGTTGGAAGGGGGATGTAGGGCACAGGAAGCACCGTGCCACAACACAGCCCGAGAAGTGACCGTAGGGCTTATTGTGATGCTGGGTGATGGAGGAGAGCAGGCTGACACTTTCCCATGTGTGATTTACTGCTCATCTAAACAAAGAACCTTTGTTTCAGTCCTGGAGTGTGGCATCGCCAGGCACTGGGAATGTTCATTTCAGAACCTGGTTGTGGGCCGTCTTCCTCAGCTTCCAAGCCTAAGATGGGAAGGGAGCAAGGCGGACAGGAGGGACGCGGAGGTTTCCAGGTGCCTCCTGCTTTGGTGCACTTCCCTTCTGTCTGCTGACTGATGGCCAGAGATGGAAGGCGTGTAGAATTTGGCCAGCGGTGGTGCGGCAGGAAGAGGGACTTACTGTAACCTTGATTTTTCAGATGAATGTGAAGAGGTAGAACGTCAGTGTCAAAAGACAGTTCAGCAACTGGAAGCTGTCCTCGGAGAACCGCTCCAGAGCTACTTCTAAAACTTGGATATTTGGTGTTTCATACTCTGTTCAGAGTTCGGATTTATATTTTTATTTTGGGGTGTTTGGTACCATGTTACTTTTGGTACCTTAACACCTATGTGGACTTGACAAAATTCCTACCCAGTTGTGCTTCCCTTCAGCCCCTCCTGCCATCTGTATAGAATTGCAAAAGGAGTAAATGATACCTGGTTTGATAGAGATGGCTGTGTTGTTTCCACATTTGTTGTAGTCGCTCCTGACTGGTGTCATTACAATTAGACATGTTTGACCTCAGCAGCCAACTGTAAAGCCTTAACTCTTCTGTGAAACAATGTCTTCTGTGCATGGCATCCATGTCAGGTTTCATTCCAAGTGTTAAATTTACTTCAAGAAAATGAGTTATTCGGCATTCAACAGGAACGCTTTTGACTGTAAAGCCATTTAAGTTTTTATCTTATGTTTTGGGAAGAAAACACTTTAGCCTTAATTTTTGTGTGTGCCCATAGAGGGCAGGCAAACGTGCTGGAATGTATTTTTCACTCAGGACAATGATTGTCTCCTGTACCCTTCAGTCTTTGGGGGGGATAGAAGGGGTGGAGGCAACAGGGTGTTTATACAACAGGCCACCCCTGACAGATCCCACAAACAGGAGGGGCCCAGGAATGCTAAGGGGCATGAAGGAGCCCCCTGCAGGAGCAGGATCACTTTTCCACTGCTGGTTAACCAAGAATTATATGAGAAAGAGTACTAGGTTTTTCTCAGCGCTTTGACATTCTCTAATCTCTATACTATGTCACAGTGACGCTGGAAAGTGAGGGTTCAATTTAAATTAATTCTGCCTTTATTTTTCAGCCATTTATTTATTTTATTTGCCTTTTTAAAGTTTAATGCATCTAAGAACAGCCCCATAGGAGGTTCAAGTTGAGTTTGAAGCCTTTGATCTAATTTAAGAAATTTAGTGCAGAGTTGTGACGAGCAGCAAAGTCTCACTGGCAGTTCAAAGACGTGTATTTCTCTTCAAGAAATGTTTCAATAAGATTTCATCAGAAATGCTAACAGCTCCATTTCAAAAACATCTTAAGATTTTGTACTCTATCAAAGAATCAGTCTGTTGTTTTACAATCTCTATGTAAAACAAAAATGAACTTTTTTTAAGATTTAGAGGGAAATTTCAGTCATGCAATCAATCTTTTAGGAAGAAAAAACAACCCTGGGGGATTCTAGAGTCTTTCTGCCTCCTACAACTGTCCTAACACTGCCCCCCCCCCACCCCCAGCACAATAAATTAACATGAAAACCTGAGAAAGAAGTGCTAGAAGTTCCTACACTGAGTACTTTAAAAAATACATATTGGTAATAGTTCTTTTCAGTATACGGATACAAAAAATAACAAACATCTGTTATGAAAATACTCTTAAATCCTGGCAGAATCCAGCCCAGCAATTTAACATAATAAAATGATCTGACTGGTGTAGCTTTTTACCTCCCTTCTCCCAAGTCTTTTGAAATCTGTAACAAGATCTGACCTGTAAGAATTCTGCAAAGAACTTCTGCCAACTGGCTTCAAAGAATAACAAAAAATTACAGAAATGCAACAATTTAACTTGCTGATACAGGTTTGATTTTAATCACTTAAAGCAGAACAATGTTTGATCTCAGTCTGATGATGATGGACTAATCTTTAGGAAAGCAGAGAGGCAGTGTTGCTTTGCATGCGGACAACCAACAGGTGTTTATGTTGTCTCTACTTTGGTGTCGGTTGGTATACTTTACTTTCTGATAGGGCCTATTTTATAAACAATCATTAAGTCAACTCCTGACTTTGCTTTGTTACCCATGAACATTTGCAAACGAATTCCTCTTGCTTCTACCTTAAACTCTGTAGAGGTCGGTGCAGACCTTTGCCTCACCCTCAATTCATCTTCTAAAATGACCACTTACTGGTACAGGGGTCGTGTGATTGACATCAAGTTCATTGCAACACCATTTGTTTTTGTTGGCTTTGTTTTTGTTGCTGTGTTCAGATTTCATAAAGAGTGGGGTAGTGTTCATAGCTAGTAGAGCTGGGTTCTTATGCTAAAGGAAATTGCCAGGTGGACGTCAGCATCAACAACTCAGCTGTGGGGATATGACGGAAGGCTCCTTGAGACCCTAGGCACAGGGGCAGGAGTCGAGTCTTCTATAGTATCTTCAGGTGATTTAATAGTTGAGTAATTCCAAGTCCCTGGTGAGTTTATATTAACCTGCAGAAGAAACAGTGGCACCAAGGGCAGAGCACAGAAGCATTTAGGGAACATGGTCTGGGCACCACTGTATGTACATCCCCAGCTCCCAGCACAGTGCTGGGCAAGGTAAGTGCTCCATGTGTGTTAGCTGCTGTATTGGGAGTAGGCACTTCAAAAGTACTTGTCAACTGTGAAGTGGGTTATAAATGAGGCCCCGGGGGGTT